CTAAATTTTCATCTTAAACGTCCATCCTCATCAGGAAGTGGGCTTATCTGGAGCCTGAACTCAAGGGTACTTTCAACGCCCTTGCCTATTGGACTTTGTCAAGCTAATTTCCTTTGGGCAGTTGGGCTTTTCATGACGGGTTCGATCATTTAATAGGGTATAAACCATAGTTCAAAACAATTAGAGTTCCAGTAAGCTTCCCTTAATAAGCTAATCAAGCCCCTTTGATAATTGAGGTGAGCCATATTGATACAAATAGTTTGGCCCTCATTTTTAATTTAGAAACCTCTTGTTTAGATTAAATCGAGATGCGACGTGCCAAAAAAAATTTTAAATGCACGGCCCTCATTTAATTAATCTAGTTTATCCTTAGAATTCGGGGCGTGCCATTTAGCGAATTTTCATGGCCCTCGCAAAATTGCTAACGCGTAGTTGCTTTAGGCGCGTTATTTTAATAATTTACCTTCCTAAACTCGGGTGCACATTTATGTGACCCAAATTCAAATCTCAACAATGTTATATAAAATGTGTTGCGGACTGCGGGTGCATTTATGTGACGTGGTTCAAGACATATTTTAAATGACGTTGTAATTTTCTTTAAAAAATGAATAAAAGCGGTTATCAGTTAAAATGCACATAGGTTCAAAAGTATTTTAAAATCAGATAATAGGCCAAGTGTAACAGTTGAGCGACCGTGCTAGAACTACGGAACTCGGGAATGCCTAACACCTTCTCCCGGGTTAACAGAATTCCTTACCCGGATTTCTGGTTCGCGGACTGTAATACAGAGTCAATCTTTTCCTCGGCTCGGGATTTGAACCGGTGACTTGGGACACCATAAATTATCCCAAGTGGCGACTCTGAATCTTTTAATAATAAGTCCCGTTTCGATTGTCACTTTAAGTTGGGAAAAACTCCCTTATACCATACCTCTTCCGGGGGTGTAGGTAAAAAGGAGGTGTGACAATGTCCAATGTGGAAGGGCCAGCCCAAGTGTGCTAGAGTTCGGAGGAATCTCATGGATTCCTAGGCAGTACACACACTAGAGGGGCAGAACTTAAATAATCTAAGAGTAGAAGTGAGAGTGCTTGACATAGTTGGAAGAGCTTAGTAAAAACAGTATAGAAGTAAAATTCTTAGGAGTGAAAAGGTATTTCAGGAATGGAAATAGTTTTAAGAAAAAAATGTTAAGAGTGAAAACAGATTTGGAAGCAATTCTGAGAAGAACAAAAATTCAACAAACAACCACACAATCACAAAAACTTAGAGTGCCCAGATTTAAAGCCATTTATTACTTAATTCTAAGTGAAGACAAACAAGTTTACAAACAGGGATCAGGGGGGTTGGGAACATAGGGAGCGTAAATCAGAAACACATGAACAGGGGAAGCATATTGATCAACAAGTACACAGAACAAGCAGGGATTGATTGACAACCAGTGACCAAATTCATAGCATTAGAATACAAACTACTGATTCAGAGTATTAACAAGGAAATTATACTTAAAGCTAAAGTGATAATAGACATTAAAGCATAGAGACAGAATGCAGGAATATCCATATTGAGGACAAGGGTCTACCACACAGAATTAGCCATACCAATTGTGGTTAATTAGATAAATTAGGAGCCTGAACTACTTAAAATGAGCATGTTAGTTGAAGGAAACAGACAAGAGCTCAAGTAAACATACTGGCTAAAATAGCAAACAAGAAGATTGAAACTTATCGTGCCGATTAAAACACTGAACAAGAGGGGGGTAAAACTTAAGCATACTGATCAAAGCAGTAAACAGGAAGAACAACTAAGTACATAATCAGTTAAACTAGTGCGAAAATAGGCATGGACTTAACAACTATGGAGCACATAGATTTGAATTTCAGAATGATATTGAAATAAGAACATACCAGTTAAGGAAGCAAAGTGCAGAAAGCAAAGCAGGTAGAGTTCCACAGTCTAACCGTGGCTTTCAGCCGGCTAGACGAGCAATGAGCACAAGTAGCAGAAAGAGAGATGAGAGAATGTTTGAGTGTGTGTGTATTTTTGAACTAGCGCCCGTGTTCTTGAGAGGTAGAACAAGAGTGTATATATAGCACTTAGGGAGTAGAGCAAATAAGGTAAAGAGAATCAGAAGTTAGTCAATTAGGGGGCAATCAAATAATCACAGAATTAATTCATGTAAGGGAGTCCGGAATAGACCCCTCAATTAGGGGTAATCACTTAATGGTCACAGCAAAAGGGGGTTAATTAGGGTAAGGAGTCCAAATCATACCAAATAAGGGAATCAATAAGAATCCCAAAACCATACGGATAACTTATTAAGGCAAGTGTGATCAATTAAAGTCATAAATAAGGGAACAAATAAGATCTGTGCACACAGATTTTAACAGGCAAAAATAATAGGAAATAATCAGTAAAACCTTCAAAAGAATACTTTTTTTGGGAAAGAATTACTCAGATTCCATAAATAGAAACTAAATAAGTAAAGCTTCACAGAAATACAGAATTCAGCAAGAAAAACAAGTTCGAACCATAAATAGAGATTAATTAGGGCAAAATCGCAAAGAAATACTGGATTTTAACAAGGAAAACATTTAAGCCCAAAAATGGAGTAAACTAATACGACTGGTGTCACAGAAATAACTAAGTATCGAAACAAAATTGAAGAAACCAGTATATCGCACAGAATCAACTAGGATTTGAACATTCATGCGGAAATCAGTTAAGTGATGAAGAAACAATTAACTAAACACTGAGAACTTAGAAAAATCGTTGAAGAAAAGCTTGAGATGAACCCTAGTTTAGAAGGAGTGATTAAAAATCGAAATAATCAATTAAAATAAGAGATTTTTGAAGGAAAACACTTAATAACATTCGAATCACCTCAGATCTATAAAGATCTGAGACGAATCGACAGTATCGAACTAGGGTTTTCAGAAAAATAGCAGAGGTGAAGAGAATAGGTCAAGAACCCATAGATTCGTAATAAAACAAGGAGAGATCCTTACTTACGAACAAAAAATGGCCTGAGACAGGCCGGTAAACAAAGTTTCAAACCAGAACCAGTTGGGGTTCCTTGAGATCTTCTCAAGGACTCATGAAGTCGAAGAGCCATGGAGTGTAGGAGGCCAGGGGTGGTTGGAGAAGACATAGAAGCACCATAGAAGGGAGGTTTACGCCAGTGACGGCGACTAGGGTTAGGGATAGGTTGAAAGAGAGTTGAGAGATGAGGGGTGACGATGACGGCGGGTTTTGAGAGAATGAAAAGGGTTTGGGGTAGGTTAGGGGTTAATTAAGGTAAGGGTGAATGTGGACCGTTGATCTAAAAGATCAACGGCCACGATCGATGAGGGGTTATTGGGTCGGGTAGGCAGATTGGGCCTAAGGGGTTTGGGCTGGCTTTTTGGATTAATATTTGGGTTGGTAAAAATGGTTAGGTCTGAAATAAAAAGGGTTATTTGTTAAATACCCAAATAATTGATAAAATATATTTTATAAAATAATTAACTGATTATAAAAAATAATTTCATGCATTAGTATGATTTAAAATAATTACTTAATATTTTAAAAATACAATGAGCTATTTTCTGGTAAAATAATGCAATAATGCAAGCATGGGCTATAATTGCAAAGTTATTGCAATTGTAACCCAAAAATATAGATGTGACTATTTGCGAAATAATTTGAGCTCAATATGCATATAAATAGCAAAATTAAACCGTGAAATTGTTATAAAATCCTTTGTGATGCAATTTGTAATTATTCATATAAAAAATACTGGGATAAATTAATTTGAAATGTAGAAATTATGGAAAAATATCAATTGATGCTAATGCATAGTTTTGAAGGTATATATGCATTTGAAAAATTGGGTATCAACAATGAGTTTCACTAATCTTTACATGTAAATCTACCCAAAATCTAGGTATTTAACTCACAAATAGTAGGAATTACTTACCTCCAAAAGCTTGGTGAAAAACCCCTCTCAAGAAGCTCTAAAATCGTCCAACAATGGAGTGAAATGAGCCAAAAACGTCTAAGGCCCGTATTAAATGTAGGCCACTGCCTTCAGTGATTTCCGCACCTGCGGTCATGGGCCGCACCTGCGCCTTCGCATCAAACATATACTTCGAGCTCTTTAATTTACTTCCAATAGCCGAAACATACTTATACTACTCAGATTGACACCAAATTTTGCGTGCAAGTCTTAAATGGTATTACGGAACTATTCTCGATCTCGGAATCCCGTTCGAACCCCGATATCCTCAAAACCTGCTCTAAACCAAATTTAAAGAACTTCTAAAAACCTTCAAAAACCAACTTTCACTATTATGCGCCAAAACGCTCCCGGGTCATCCAAAACCCAATCCGAACATACGCCCAAGTCCGAAATCATCATACGAACCTGTTGAAACCGTCAAATCCCGATTCCGAGGTCGTTTACTCAAAATGTTGACCGAAGTCAAACTTAGCCTTTCAGGCCAACCTTAAGGAATCAAGTGTTCCGATAAATTAACCCAAACTCTCCCAGATCCCCAACTAACCTTCCCCGCAAGTCATAAATCAGTAAAAGCAAGTAAGAGAAGTCTTATTAAGGAAAACGGGGTTCTAGAAAGCAAAACGACCAGTCAGGTTGTTACAATGTTTGAGAAAATTAAGCAGATTTGCTGTGGAAATCATAAATAGCTATCGATGGGATCTAGTTCAGATTCATAGTCATCAAAAGCAAAATCACAACGTTAAAATTTGATAAACAGAAAATTCGTAATTGTTTTCCAAGGTTATAGATAAACGATCTATATATAAACAATGAAATGTGAATGAATGCGTAGTCTTTTTCTTGATCTTACATATACTCTCAACATTGTAGCACGCAAAAACGACACAACACAACACATACTAAGGTAAATGTAATTTATGTAAAAGAAATTGAAAAAAACAAACATAAACAAGGGTAAAAGTAAATTCTTAAAGAGCTAAAAGAAGTGTTCGAGAGGTTCGATATGAATCGCGATGAGAAAACTTCAGCGTCGGAACTGAATTACGCCCTGTCCAGTGTAGGAAACGGCGTTACGACAGAAGAATTGGAGAAAATGTTCAGCAAAGTGGATTCCGACGGGGACATGCTCATCAATTTTGAAGCATTCCTCCATTGCTATAAAAATTTGGAGGATTTTAAGGATTCTTTCTCCTTGTTTGATGGGGACAAGAATGGCTCCATCACTGCTGATGAGATTCAGAACCAGTTTATGAAGACTCTGGGGAAAGAATATTCCATTGAAGAGTGCCAGAAAAGAATTTAGGATTATAATGGTCAATTCAAGATTTTGGGATGGAAATGCGACAAAACCTTAATGGGCCGATACTCATTTGTTGTTGCTGTTGTTGTTGTTTTTTGGGATTTTTTCCTAACTATACCATATATGAAACCTTATTACCCTAAATGTGCATAGTTTGTTAATTACCCGCCCAGTCCACACTTTAACTACAATTTATATACCATTCGATTATTAGGCATTAAAAGGGCAGAATATTCCCTAAAAACGCGCTAAAATTAAGGAGAGAATCTTGGTGTTAATTGATTCTACATTAAATTCAATTTTTAAAAAGGGAAAGGAGATTTCTCATCTGCGTATTTTTCTCCAGAACTACAATTCAAATTCTCGAAAAAAAAAAAGAACGAACAATTCAAATTTTCGAGTTTCAACAACTCAAAGTTGAAAAAATCTGTTCTTCCATATATTTTCCAGAAATTGTAGATAAATTGTAGATAAATTGTAGAATTGTAGATAAATTGTAGAAAAAGAAGAAGACATATTTCTAGAAATTGTAGATAAATTGTAGAATTGTAGATAAATTGTAGATTGGGAAGACTAAAACTTCTACAAATCTTCATAAAAAACGCAATTATGTCGACAATGTCAATTATGCTACAATTGAAATAGGAATTGGGATATTAAAATTCAATGTATCCAGTTTGTAGATATCTTGTAGATTAATTTATCTACAATTTCTACAATTTATCTACAATTCAACTGCATTTATTTGTCCAAAGACTTTAGCATAGTTGAATGTATCTTCTTTGAAATGTCAAAACTACAAGTCACTATTCTGCATAGAACTATTTCATCACCTCTATCTCTTCAGTCCTATTTGTCCAAAGACTTTAGCATAGTTGAATGTATCTTCTTTGAAATGTCAAAACTACAAGTCACTATTCTGCATAGAACTATTTCATCACCTCTGTCTCTTCAGTCCTCTCTTCTTCATCTTCCAAAAAAAAAATAAGAAAGAAAAAACCCCATCATCACCATGACCAGTCACACACTGTTCGATCTCCTGCTGCCGCTTGCCGCCGTACTGACAATTGTCTCCGTCGTCAGCGCCGCCGGGGCAGTAAGCACTTCTGATTTTCGAAAAATCACGAGAGAAGAGAGAAATTACGTGGTAAAGGTAAAACGTGGGGAGGGGGGAAGTGGAAAGATACGGTCCTATAATTATGCCTAATATAAATGCACCCTTAATTATATCCCTTATTTGAACTATGGTATATAAATGGTTATTTGGTATACTGAAATGTAATTAACGCAAACCTTAAACATTGAGGGTAATAAGGTTTCATATGTGGTATAGGAAGGTAAAAATCCGTTGTTGTTTTACTTTTCGTTTTCTCCATCAATGCGTGGTTTCTCGATGTCATGGATCACTAGTGGGCCTGACTTAAAAATCTTAGTCCAACCCTACAAAATCGCTGGTTGAGTTAGATCGGCCCATTGAGTCATGTACATGTTAACGGCTCTATTAATTAGTGAATGAATCATTAAATCTTCCTCGCAATATCTTTAACATATTGATGTGGCGGAGTTTATGCCGTAGGTTGAAACTAGTAAGAGCTAAGCTTATCATCAAACTAGTGAATTCAATTGTAAGGAATATCATTGAACTTGAAATTAAGTTTTTTAAAAATTTAGTCAAGATAGAATATTCTTAATTAAAGATTAAGTGAATTACATCTATATATATATATNAAAATTGTTTTTAGTTTTATGACTCTACACACATGAGAGATTTATTTTTACAGGTAAGAGATCTAAAACGATTATTTTCAAATAACACCCCAAAAATTGCAGTGTTTATCCATTGAGTTCTATTTTCGTTATGCATTTTTTTCCCATCCTTCTTTCTTTATCAAATTTGTCTTTCATTCTTCTTTTTCTTCACCTTTAATCTTTAATCTTCCTCTCAAGTTTCAATTCACTAAATACTTAATCTCATATTCCAGAAAAGCCATGTACAATAATTCTCTATCCTCAATTATTTTTTCTTTCTTCCCTTTTTCTCCCTCTTTCCTACTGTGACTTACTCTATTATTTTTAGGGAGAATGACACAGTTACCCACAAAAACAAAACCATTTACTCTTGTCTACCCATTTGTTTTTTCTACCCATAAACTAATTACATTTCCTACCCATAGTAGTTTTTGTGGAATTTTTTCTTTATTCCCCAATTCTTTTTTTATTTCTATGCTTCTTTTCGTCTTCTTTTTTTTCTTTTCTCTTTTTCTTTATTCTCGTTTTCTTCTTATTTATTTCTTTTTTCCTTTCTAATTTCATTTAACTTCTTTTTTTATATTCTTTTTCTCTTCATAATCTAATTCCATTTATTGTTTTTTCTATTTTTTATTATTCTTTTTTTATACTATTACTAAAGTAAAATCAAATTGTGCATCAATTAAATGTAGCTAATACAACCAAAAAATATTAACTAACATATGATATTAGTATAGTATATTGCTATACCAACAGGGTATACAATTGTACCCAAAGAGTTAAAAAAAATTAATTCAATTATTAAACTAAAATAATATCAATTGTCAATAAATATTTCAAACAATTCTAAAAGGGTCTAATTGTAAGAGTATACCATTACATTATATAGCATACTATAATATATATATATATATATATATATATATATATATATATATATATATATATATATATATATATACATATATATATATATTGCATTTTCAATTTGCCCCTCACGCTGGGTAAAAGCTTAAAGCAAATTAAAAAGGAAAAGGCAAGTGAATTTACAGGTAATAAGTATACTATTATAGTATATTGTATACTATTACAGCACACTATTACAGTATATTGCATATTATTACAGAATACTATAACAATATATTGTATACTATAATAGTATATTGTTGCAGTATAACTATATACTCCCATAGTATGTATACTGTAGCGGTATACTGTTAGGTAACTGTGTTCTTCTTCGATTATTATAATATACCGTTGCAGTATATTGTAAACTATAATAGTATACTGTTGCAGTATAGCTATATACTCCTACAGCATATTGTATACCGTAGCGGTATACTATTGGGTAGCTGTTTTCTTCTTCGATTTTTAGCTGAAAATTTCATTCCCAATCAGCTCCAAATGCTATCAAATTTCAGTATGAACTTTCAGAAGGTACTATAAGCAATATTTAACAGCACCCACTTTGAATCAACAAGAAAGCTTCAAAAATAAAATTGAGCTTCAACCCAACAATGGTGGATATTCAAATACACATAAAAATTTAGATCGGGGAAGCTTACTCGAAGATACTATAGCACCCACATCGAATCAAACAATAAATCTTCAAAATAAAATTTTAAATTCTGGAGCTTCAAGCTCAAAAATTGTGAGTCTTCATACACACATAAAAATCAGAAGAAGAGGAGGTAGAACAATAGCTTGGGTTGACCCTCTTAATGAAGATCGATCTGACAGAGGAGAAGTTGATCCATTTAAGTCCACTACCAAGTAAGCTTGCAAAAATGAAGTCAGATGTTTTAACATTCTATACTTCAAATGAGAAGGCAAATAGCTGTGGGCCGGGTAAATAGTCTTGGGTGCATAGGTAGGAAAAATAAATAGTTTAGGTTTGGGTATTTAAGGGTAAATAGTTTGGGCTTAATAGGTATAAAGTGAGATGTTCTCTTCCTTTTTGTTTGTTTTGGTTTAGTTATCTGGTATTTGAATTAGCCCGCTAATTGGCTAATTTGGTTTTTTTAAGGCTCGAACTTGAGACCTTTAGGCAAGTGATAGAAATTTTAACTATCTCATTGTTGAAGAAGTTGATCATGATAAGGATAAGTTTGAATTAGATAAGCATAGTTAGAATGTATTGTAGAGTTAGAACTCTAACTCAATGTAATAGTTATACAAGTAGTAGAACTCTAAGTTCACTTGTAGTAGTTGTTTTGTGACTTGTATAAATTCAGTCACTTATGGCTTTGTAATACATTTGTATAAATTCAGTCACTTATTTCCTCTCAATCGTGTGATTTTCTACATGATATCAGAGCTTCTTGAAGCTACGCTGCCCACACGATCAAACATGGCCATAACAACACCCTCAACCTCGTTGTGTCTATCACCTGCTTCCCTGCACCATCTGATTGCCTCTTGTCCAGTTAAGTTGAAACCATCAAACTACTTGATCTGGAGGACACAAATACTCTAGTTGATTCAGGTAATGAAGGTGGCAAACTTGAACAAGGAAGGCAAGCCAGACACAAGCAGTTCATCTGCTTCTGATGGTGCTGACAAGGCTATCGACTGGGAGGAAAAAGATGTGCTCCTGAGGAGTTGGATCTCTGCTACAATGACTGAAGAAAGAATGTACCTCATAGCGGGATGCTCAACTGCCAAGGAAATATGGGAATGTCTGGAGGAAGCATACCTGCAGGCAACCAAGGATAAGGAATTTTAGCTTAAGCAACAGCTCCAGAACATCAGCTAGGAACCAAAAAGCTTGATGAATACTTGAAGGAATTCAAAGGCATATGTGATGGTCTCTCAGACATACACAAGCCTGTTGATGAAGACAACAAAGTAATCAACTTTGCTAGAGGACTTGGTCAAAAGTACAAAACTTTTAGGATTATCATGCTGGGAAAGGCCCCATATCCTACACTGAACCAGTTTATCAATGCTCTTAGAGGTTTTGACATAAGAGAAGATGAAGAGGAAGTGGTTCAACAAGGCTACAATATGGCCTTTGCTACTCAAAGAGGAAGAGGTCGTGGAGGTTACTCTAACAGAAGAGGAAACTCAAACTTCTCCTCAAGAGGAAGAGGTTTCAGACCTGCAGGACAAGGCAGCAATCAGAATAATCACAACACTGAAAATTCAAGACCATGATAGGGCAAGGAAAATTGCCAAATATGTGGAAGAAACAATCACACAGCCTTAAAATGCTTCTACAGGTGGGATTATTCCTACCAGGCCACAAAGGATCT